TGATGAGGCGCGCTTGCCTGTTGAATTCAGAGGTCTGAACTCGGTCTGCTAGCCGAGCTAGGTCCGCAAACCTGTTCGTATTATTCGAGTCATCTTGACAGGAACTCTCGTTTTTTTGCACTTAACTCGAGCTGTAGGACAGCTACAGAGCTGATATTTGCAGAAATCGATTCAGAATGATCAGTTGCGCTTCTCTGTCGAATCCAGAGCTCTGAACTGGGTCTGCTGTCTGATCTAGAATCGCGAAACTATTCGTATTGGTCGAGTCGCTTGCGCGATGCTGTCGGTTATCTGGACTTAACTCGGGCTATGGGGGGGCTGTATCTGGTAATCACTGGAATCGATTTGCAGACAGCAGGCGCGTCCGCCTGTCGCATACAGAGCTCTGAACTCTGTCTGCTGCTCGAACTAGGTCCGCGAAACTATTCGTATTGTTCGAGTTATCCTGAGAGTTGCTGTCGGTTTTCTGCACTGAACTCGGACTGTAGGGGGGCTGCAGGGCTGGTAATGACAGGAGTCGATTCGCAGACATCAGACGCGCCCGTCTGTCGCATTCAGAGGTCAAAACTATTCAGTATAAGTCAGATTGTTGGTACGTGCTGTCTGTTTTCTCAACTTAAGTCGAGTTAGGAAGCTCTACGAGTCTCCCGGCGGTTAACACACAGAGCTAGGCACGGCATTTGTAGAACACGTTTTAGGCATGATTTCCTATCCCATGTTAAAGCTAACGCTATTCTGATCGACGCCATCCGGGGAAGCTTCGATGGTGGAAGATCCTATCTGGGCGTAGGCTGTGGCTGGCAGATTGATTTTCATTTGTGCTCCTCTTCTGTTGCTGAATATCCTGTCACTCTTCCGAGTGGCGTGTGGGAGCCCAACGTGGCCTCTTCCTCTTTCCTCCTTCCCCCCTCGAGCACTATCACTGCAGCTGAGTTAGAGTCTGCCCGACAACTCCTTTTGGGAGTGGAGGAATGCCTGCATTTGGCAGGATACTAGGCCTCCCTGTGTGGCTATCGCCTGGGCGGTGACCCGACCCTGCTGTGGCGGCACGCAATACGCAAAAAAACCAAGGTCGACGGTTTACCGCCGGCGCCCAGTATTGCGGCGCGCTGGAGAGGTAGTTGGCAAGAAAAATCTCGACGGAAGTTTGCTGACTTTCAGTCAGTTCAAATTTTTTATTCTCGGAATTTGAATATTCGTTAGAGCTCTAGTATTTTCCCTGAGTCATTTGATCTTATTCCCGCTCGTCCTCTTGATCTTAGATCGATCGGGTGAATATCATCATCGAAAAGCACGGTGGCAGGATCGGCCGTTTTGAGCCATCTTGATACGTGCTAACGGTTTTCTGCACATATCTCGAGCTTTAGGACAGCAGTCTGCTATCTGATCTAGAATCGCGAAATTATTCGTATTTATCGAGTAATCTTAAGAAGTGCCCTCGGTGTTCTTCACTCAACTCGCGCTGAGGCGAGCTACAGTGTTTTTTGTCACAGGAATTGATTTGAAGACATCAGGCGCGTCGCCTGTCGAATCTAGAGCTCGGAACTCGGTCTGCTGCCCGAATTAGGTCTGCGAGCCTATTGTATTGTTCGAGTCATCCTGAGAGGTGCTGTTGGTTTTCTCCTCAACTCGGGCTGTAGGGGGGCTACAGGGCTGGTAATGACAGGAATCGATCGTCTGAATCGGGAGCTCTGAACTCGGCCTGCTGCGCGAGCTAGGTTTGCGAAACTATTCATTGTTCGACTCATCTCGAGAAGTGTTCTCGGTTTTCTGTACTTAACTCGTGCTGGGGTAGGGCTACAGCGCTGCTGGTCACAGAAATCGATTCGGAGCCATCAGGCGCGTCCGTCTGTCGAACCAAGAGCTTGGAACTCGGTCTGCTCCTCGAACTAGATCCGCAAAATTTTTTCGTACTAGTCGAGTCATTCTGAGAGGTGCTGTCGGTTTTCTGCACTTAAGTCGGGCTGTAGGGGGGCTGCAGGGCTGGGCATCACAGAACTCGATTGGAAGACATCAGCTACGCCCGTCTGTCGCATTCAGAGATCTGAACTCGGTTTGATACTCGAGCTGGATTGCCAAACTGTTTGTTTTTTGTTAGAGTGATCTTGGAATGTCTGAAATCGCTTGGGCTGAAAAAACAATTCGTTCTCTGATTTTTTCTCCCACATTATATACTGTCGGGAAGCTCTACGAGTCTTCCGGCGGTGATAAAGGTTGACGGTTCACCGCCGGCGCCCATCACGAGAGCTTCTGTGGGCTCGCCAGGAAGGCTTTTCAGTGCGTGTCCTCTTTGCTCTCTGGGTTTTGGACGCTGCCAGGTGGACGCTGCCAAGTGGTCGGTTGAAAATAACTCGTAGAGCTCTCGTAGAGCTTCCCTTAGCTTGCTGCTGGAAGCTTCAGAGTACCTCGTAGAGCTCTTGGGCATCGATGAGCCAGAGGAATTCCGGCGCGGGGTGGAGCTAGTTGGCCCAGCCGGCCAAGGCGGACAATGTGGCAACTTTTGGGTGGTTTTGCGAATATTTGAAAGATATTTGACAATTCATTTTGAGAAAGCCGATTTTTGCGCGTCGCATTGGCATATAAACTCCTCTTCGACAGCAGCTCAGCTCTGCCGATGCATTTTCCTATGAGTTGACTTCCAGGAACTGAGCGAATATGAAAATCGAAAAAATCGAAAATGCAGATTTTCGAAAAATCTTTATTTCTTGATTCTACTCCGATTCTGAGCACTCTTGCCAGTGTCAGGAGCTCTACGAGGTGTCCGGGCGGTGACCAGGTTGACGGTTCACCGCCGGCGCCAGTAATCCCGGCGCGCTGGAGAGCTAGTTGGCAAGAAAAATCTCGACGGACCTTTTGCTGACTTTTGGTCGGTTGAAAATTTTGTTCTCGAAATTCAACAATTCGTTTGAGCTCTAGTATTTTTTCTGACCATACTCGATCTTATTCCCGCTCGCCATCTTAATCTCAGCTCGATCGGGTAAACATTTATGGAAAAAAGCATCGCGGCGGGATCGGCTGTTTCGAGTCATCTTGATACGCGTTGTCGGTATTTTGTACTTAACTCGAGCTGTAGGGCAGCTGCAGAGCTGATTCTCGCAGAAATCGATTGCAAATCGTCAGTCGCGTTTGTCTGCTGCATCTAGAGGTCCGAACTCGGTCTGCTGCCCGAGCTAGGTGTGCGAAACTATTCGTGTTGTTGGAGTCATCTTGAGAGCTGCTGACGGTTTTCCGCACTTAACTCAGGCTGTAGGGGGGGTACAGGGCTCGTACTCACAGGAATCGATTCAGAGACATCAGGCGCGTCCGCCTGCCGAATCCAGAGACCAGAACTCGGTGTGCTGCCCGAGCTAGGTTCGCAAAACTATTCGTAGTCGTTGAGTCATCTTGAGAGGTGCTGTCCGTTTTCTTAACTCGAGCTGTAAGGGGGCTGCAGGGCTGGTAATCACTGGAATCGATTCGGAGACATCAGTCGCGTCCACCTCTCACATTCAGAGCCCTGAACTCGGCCTGCTGCCCGAGCTAGGTCCGCGAAGCTATTCGTATTGTTCGAATCATCTTCAGAGGTGCTGTCGATTTTCTGAACTTAACTCGGGCTGTAAGGGGGCTGCAGGGCTGGTAATCACAGGAATCCATTCGGAGACATGATCCGCGTCCGCTTGTTGCATTCAGATGTCTGAACTCGAGTGATCTTGAGAGGTGCTGTCGATTTTCGCACGTAACTCGGGCTGTAGGAGAGCTACGGAGCTCGTGTGCACAGAAAACGATCGAGAAGCATCAGGGGCGTTTGGCTGTTGCATCGAGAGGTCTGAAATAATTTATGCTGAAAAACTATTCGTTCTCTGCAATTTTTTTCGACATCATATATGGTCAGGAAGCTCTACGAGTCCCCGGCGGTAACAAAGGTTGACGGTTTACCGCCGGCGCCCAGTTGCTGGAAGCTTAAGAGCAATTCCGGGGCGCTGGAGAGCTAGTTGGGAAGAAAAACCTCGACGGACCTTTTGGTGACTTTTGGTCGGTTGAAAATTTTGTTCTCGAAATTCAACAATTCGTTAGAGCTCTAGTATTCTTTCCCGTGATATTCGATCTTATTCCCGCTCGCCATCTTGATCTCAGCTCGATCGGGTACCTTTTACTGCCAAAAAGCACTCCGGCGGGATCGGCCGTTTCGAGTCATCTTGATACGTGGTGACTGTTTTCTCAAGATAACTCGAGCTTCAGGACAGCTACAGAGCTGGTAAGCACAGCTAATCGATTCAGAATGATCAGGCGCGTTCGCCTGTGGAACCCAGAGGTCTGAACTCGGTCTGCTAGCCGAGCTAGGTCCGCAAACCTATTCGTATTATTCGAGTCATCTTGACAGACGCTCTCGGTTTTCTCTACTTAACTCGAGCTACAGGACCGCTACAGAGCTGATACGTACAGAATTTGATTGAGAATCATCAGTGGCCGTTGTCTGTGGAATCCAGAGCTCTGAACTCGGTCTGCTGCCCGATCTAGAATCGCGAAACTATTCGTATTGTTCGAGTCATCTTGAGAGATGCTGTCGGTTCTCTGCACTTAATTCGGGCTCTGGGGGGGCTGCATGGCTGGTAATCACTGGAATCGATTCGAAGACATCAGGCGCGTCCGCCTTTCGAATCCAAAGCTCCGAACTCTGTCTGCTGCCAAACCAGGTCCCTGAAACTATTCGTATTGTTCGAGTTATCCTGAGAGGTGCTGTCGGTTTCCTGCAGTTAACTCGGGCTGTAGGGGGGGGGGGGCTGCAGGGCTGGTAATCACAGGAAACGATTCAAAGAGATCAGACGCGTTCGCCTGCATGCAGAGGTTTGAACTCGGTCTGATACTCGAGCTAGGTTTGCCAAACTATCCGTATGGTTCGAGTCATCTTGAGAGGTGCTGTCGATTTACGCACGTAACTCGGGCTGTAGGAGAGCTACAGAGCTCGTACAGAAGACAATCCAGAAGCATCGGGGGCGTTCGGATGTTGCATCCGAGAGGTCTGAAATTGCTTGGGCTGAACAATTATTTTTCTGTGTAATTTGTTTCGACATTATATGTTGTCCGGAAGCTCTACGAGTCCCCCGGCTCAAGAAAATCTCGGCTCAAGGCGCTTGACATTTGATCCCCTCTGCCTGGGTAACCTCCAGTGGGATCGAGTGCGCGTCAGGAAGTCACACGTTTGTCGCCTAGAGTGATATTGCACGGCCATTCATTTGACACGTTTGATCGCCTTGAGTGGTCTTCAATTGATTTGTTTCACACGTTTGTCGCCTAGAGTGATATTGCGCTGCCATTCATTTGACACGCTTGATCGCCTTGAGTTGTCTTCAATTGATTTGTTTTGCTGGGTGCTTCCGAGGCAGTCTCTGCAATCTTTCGTTATGCCACACGTACGGAGTGCAAGTGCTCGCATTATGCGTCGGGCGCTGGCTGTTCAAAACGGATACTGTGTGCATTTACCTATTCGTTTGCCTCTGGATGGTTTGGTGCCACCTACGTGTCTCCCACCACCAGGGCTGGAGCGGGCGACTGCCGATTTGGTTCTAGATCATCTCTTGTTGCGCGATCCACCTGTTGTCAAACGCAGTTTGGAGGAGGAGGAGGAGGCAAACATTAAGACTGTTTCGGATAATCTTTCTTGCCGTATGCAGGCTTCTGAATCGCTGGTTGATGTAGATATTGGAGTGCAGGCTTCTGAATCGCTGGTTGATGTTGGAGTGCAGACGGTTGATGTTGCGGACTTTCATTGTGAAGTCGGCTGTCAGACAGATAGTGTCGTTGGGATGGAGGGAGGAACTTCAGGAGTTCTTCTTGGGAAAGTGACTGTGGCGGCGGAGGAGGAGCTGGAGGCACCCTCGAGTGCGGAGTCTTCTCCGAACGTGCAGTCTGATTCTGATAGCCGCGCCTTGTCAGGAGCGTCCCAGGGGTGTCTGAATCGTCCCGTCGCGCTCAATGAGGTATCGAAGGAGTCGCGCCAGGGGACTCGAGGGAGAGATCGTGACAAGGTCAAGGGGACATCGACGTGCTCTCAGGCCACCATTGCCGATGTCAAAGCGTGGATTGACGCTGTTGCCAGCATCAACGAGTTGAATGCGATCCAGTATTTAAAGAACGGAATGGATTTGTTTGATAAGCTGGTGACAGAACGTGGGTTCCCTACAAAGAAGGCCCAAAAAGATTATGCTCGGAAACTGTATGAGATGCTCCAGAATGTGCAAGCGACGCTGGAGGATCTTCTAGGATTCTTCGAGGTGCACAGGTTCTTGACAGGACAAATGAACCGCGCCGAGATGGCCAAGTTTCTTGAGGTTTCCAAGTGCAGCGATTACCGAATAATATTCTTCGGACGCCCGAGGAGTTTCGACAAGTTGGGATGAAGCTATTCGTGCGCACTTGTATGCATCTTCCGGTTTAGAACAGCGAAGGCTGTAATGCTTGTATCTCACCTGTTCTTGTTTTCCTCACTTTATCTCTCTGTTTGACCTCTCGTTGGAGCCATGATGGCTCTACGGCCCGCTGTGGGCCCCACTAAGCGATTCAGGTGTGTAAAGGGCAGGGGCCCCTCATATTCTTCAGGTGACGTTCTTCCACGGGTTGTTTCCCCGTCTAATTCGTTGATTACTTCACATGTGACGTTGAGCATGCGCCTCTTGTCATACGGCGGGTTGAACATGCGTATTTCGGACTGGTTTGATGTGAATAAGAGTTTGTGCTCGCTCACGCCTTGCCTGTTTGGATACGTCCGCTCCTTGCTCCGACTAGGCTGGAAAGCCTGCACAGTCGACCGCAAAGTCCGCAAAAAAAACAAAGGTTGACGGTTTACCGCCGGCGCCCAGTTTTGTTTTCGAAATTCAACCATTCCTTAGAGCTCTAGTATTTTTTCCCGTGATATTCGATTTTATTCCCGCTCGCCATCTTGATCTCAGCTCGAACAAGTACCTTTTACTACCAAAAAGCGTCCAGGCGGGATCGACCGTTTCGAGTCATCTTGATACGCGCTGTCGGTATATTGGACTTAACTCGAGATACAGGACAGCTACAGAGCTGGTAAGCACACCTTATCGATTCAGAATGATCAGGCGCGTTCGTCCGTTGCATCCAGAGGTCTGAACTTGGTGTGCTAGCCGAGCTAGGTCCGCAAACCTATTCGTATTATTCGAGTCATCTTGACAGGCGCTTTCGGTTTTCTGTACTTAATTCGAGCTATATGACAGCTACAGAGCCGATGCTTACAGAAATTGATTCAGAGTCATCAGTCGCGTTTGTCTGTTGCATCCAGAGCTCTGAACTCGGTCTGCTGCCCGCTCTAGAATCGCGACACTATTCGTATTGTTCGAGTCATCTTGGGAGGTGGTTCTCTGTACTTAACTCGGGTTGTGGGGGGGGGGGCTACAGTGCTTGTAGTCACAGGAATCGATTTGTAGACATCAGGCGCGTCCGCCTGTCGAATCCAGAGCTCGGAACTCGGTCTGCTGCCCAAACTAGGTCGCGAAACTATTCGTATTGTTCGAGTCATCCTGAGAGGTGCTGTCGGTTTTCTGCACTTAACTCGGGCTGTGGGGGGGCTCCAGGGCTGGTAATCACAGGAGTCGATTTGGAGACATCAGACGTGTCCGCTTGTCGCATTGAGAGGCCTGAACTTGGTCTGATACTCGAGCTAGGTTTGCCAAACTATCGTATTCTTCGAGTGATCTTCAGGGTTGTTGTCGATTTACGCACGTAACTCGGGCTGTAGGAGAGCTACAGAGCTCGTATAGAAGACAATCGAGAAGCATCGGGGGCGTTCGGCTGTTGCATCGAGAGGTCTGAAATCGCTTTGGCTGAAAAACTATTCGTTCTCTGCATTTTTTTCGACATTCTATATTGTCAGGAAGCTCTACGAGTCCCCCGGCGGTAAGAAAGGTTGACGGTTTACCGCCGGCGCCAGTAATTACCTCGTAGAGCTCTTTGGCGTCGATGAGCTAGAGGAATTCCGGCGCGGGGTGGAGCTAGTTGGTCGACCCAGCCAGAAAGGACAAAGTGTTAACTTTTGGGTGGTTTCTACCGGAGAGTTCTCTGAGAGCTAGAGGGTTTTAGATTAGAAGCCGGACGGTCGTGGTGCCCGCCAGCCGCCCATCTCCGCCGCTCCACGATCCTCGCAGCAACTCGCCCGTCCCGGCAGGGGGTCCGGGAGAGCTTCCGGCAAGTGCGAACGCGTGCCTGCACACGTGCAGGCACGCGTGGATACGTTCCTGGCACCGCTTCAGAAGCGCTGCAGGGGGGCCCCCAGAGCCCCAGAAGAGCTCCCCCAGAACTTCTGTGGGCTTGCCAGGAAGGCTTCCTAGTGTTTGCCCTCTTTGCTCTCCGGGTTTTTCCCGGAGAGCTCGCTGAGAGCTAAAGGGTTTAAGATAAAGCCGGACGGTGGTGATGCCCGCCAGGAGCTCCTCAGGGCGCCTCCAGCGGCTGGGAAGCTTCCACGCGTGCGTGCAAGCACGCATAGAAGCGTTTCTGGCACCGCTTCAGCAGCGCCTCAGTCGAGCCCCCCAAGGCTCTCCAGAAAGGACTGGGCGCCGGCGGTAACCGTCAACCTCTCTTACCGCCTGGGGACTCGTAGAGCTTAACTCGTAGAGCATCCCTTAGCTACAGGAATTCAATCGGAGACATCACAGGAATTCACTCGGAGACATCAGACGCGTTCGCCTGTCGCATTCAGAGGCCTGAACTTGGTCTGATACTCAAGCTAGCTTTGCCCAGCTATCATATTGTTCGAGTGATCTTAGGGTTGCTGTCGATTTACGCACGTGACTCGGGCTGTAGGAGAGCTACAGAGCTCGTACAGAAGACTGGGCGCCGGCGCGGTAAACCGTCAACCTTGGTTACCGCCGGGTCGTAGAGCTTCCTAGCTCGACTTAAGTTGAGAAAGCCGACAGCACCTACCAACATTCCGACTCATAGTGAATATTCTTTGACCTCTGAATGCGACAGGCGGACGCGTCTGATGTCTGCGAATCGATTCCTGTCATTACCAGCCCTGCAGCCCCCCTACAGCCCGAGTTAAGTGCAGAAAACCGACAGCACCTCTCAGGATGACTCGAACAATACAGTAGTTTCGCAGACCTAACTCGGGCAGCAGACCGAGTTCCGAGCTCTGGATTCGCGCCTGATGTCTTCAAATCGATCCTGTGACCACCAGCACTGTAGCCCCCCTCAGCGCGAGTTGAGTGAAGAAAACCCAGAGCACTTCTCAAGATGACTCGACCAATACGATTAGTTTCGCGATTCTAGATCGGGCAGAAGACCGAGTTCAGAGCTCTGGATCCGACAGACAAACGCAACTGATGATTCTGGATCGGTTTCTGTAAATATCAGCTCTGTAGCTGTCCTACAGCTCGAGTTAAGTACAGAAAAGCGAGAGTTCCTGTCAAGATGACTCGAAACATACAAATAGGTTTGCGGACCTAGCTCGGCTGACAGACCGAATTCAGACCTCTGGATTCAACAGGCGAACGCGCCTAATCATTCTACATCGATTAGCTGTGCTTACCAGCTCTGTAGCTGTCCTGAAGCTCGAGTTATGCTCAGAAAACCGTCAGCGTGTATCAAGATGAAGCAAAACGGCCGATCCCGCCACTTTTCGATAGTAATATTCACCCGATCGAGCTGAGATCAAATGGCGAGCGGGAATAACATCGAATATCACGGGAAAAAATACTAGAGCTCTAACGAATGTTCAAATTTTGAGAACATAATTTTGAACTGAGCAAAAGTCATCAAAAGTTCCGTCGAGATTTTCGAGCCAACTAGCCCGCCAGTGCGTCCGAATTACTCTTCAGCTTCCAGCTGCTAGCTTAGGGAAGCTCTACGAGTCACAATCGAGAAGCATCGGGGCGTTCGGCTGTTGCATCGAGAGGTCTAAAATCGCTTGGGCTGAAAAACTACTCGTTCTCTGCATTTTTTTCGACATTATATACTGTCAGCACTGGGCGCCGGCGGTAAACCGTCAACCTTTCTTACCGCCGTGGGACTCGTAGAGCTTCCTGACAATATTGAATGTCGAAAAAATTGCAGAGAACGAATAATTTTTCAGCCTAAGCGATTTCAGACCTCTCGATGCAACAGCCAAACGCCCCTCATGCTTCTGGATCGTTTCCTGTGCGCACGAGCTCCGTAGCTCTCCTACAGCCCGAGTCACGTGCGAAAATCGACAGCACCTCTCAAGATCACTCGAACAATACGAATAGTTTGGCAAACCTAGCTCGAGTATCAGACCGAGTTCACACCTCTGAATGCAACAGGCGGACACGCCTGATGTCTCCGAATCGAGTCCTGTGATTACCAGCCCTGCAGGCCCCAAACAGCCCGAGTCAAGTGCAGAAAACCAAGAGCACCTCTGAAAACGACTCGAACAATACGAATAGTTTCGCAGACCTAGCTCAGGCAGCAGACCGAGTTCAGAGCTCCGAATGCGACAGGCGGACGCGACTGATGTCTCCGAATCGATTCCAGTGATTACCAACCCTGCAGCCCCCTTAGATCTCGAGCTAAGTGCAGAAAACGGACAGCACCTCTCAAGATGACTCGAAGAATACGAATAGTTCGCGGGCCTAGCTCGGTCAGCACACCGAGTTCTGAGCTCTCGATTTGGCAGGCGGACGCGCCTGATGTCTCCAAATTGATTCCTGTGAGTACGGGCCCTGTAGCCCCCCTACAGCCCGAGTTAAGTGCAGAGAACTAACAGCACCTGTCAAGATGACTCGAACAATACGAAAAGTTTCGCAAACCTGGCTCGGCCAGCAGACCGAGTTCAGACCTCTGGATGGAACAGACGAGCGCGTCTGATGATTTGCAATCGATTTCTGTGAGGATGAGCTCCTTAGCTACCCTACAGCTCGAGCTAAGTACAAAATACCGACAACGCGTATCAAGATGACTCGAAACAGCCGATCCCGTCGCGACGCTTTTTTGCAGAAATATTTACCCGATCGAGCTGAGATTAAGACGGCGAGCGGGAATAAGATCGAATATGGTCAGAAAAAATACTAGAGCTCCAACGAATGGTTGAATATCGAGAACAAAATTTCCAACCGACCAAAAGTCAGCAAAAGGTCCGTCGAGATTTTTCTTGCCAACTAGCTCTCCAGCGCCCCGGAATTACTCTTAAGCTTCCAGCTATAACTTGCTAAGGGAAGCTCTACGAGTTATTTCCCGTCCCCGAGGGTCTCTTCGCTCTCCGGGTTTTGGGCGCTACTAAGTGGACGCTACCAAGTTCCCGGAGAGCTCGCTGAGAGCTCAAGAGTTTAAGATGAGAAGCCGGACGGTGGTGGTGCCCGCCAGGAGCTCCTCCACGGCGCTCCACGTTCCCCGCAGCGCCCCCGGCGGCCCGGCAACGTGTCCGGGGGAGCTTCCGGCAAGCTTCCACGCGTGCCTGCATGCGTGCAGGCACGCATGGAAGCGTTTCTGGCACCGCTTCAGCAGCGCCCCAGAGGAGCCCCCCAAGGCTCTCCAGAAAAGATTTCCCGTGCCCGAGGGTCTCTTCGCTCTCCGGGTTTTGGACGCTACAAAGTAACTCGTAGAGCTTCCCTCAGCAAGTTATTGCTGGAAGCTTAAGAGTACCTCGTAGAGCTCTTCGTCATCGATGAGCTAGAGGAATTCCGGCGCGGGGTGGAGCTAGTTGGCCGACCCGGCCAGAAAGGACAAAGTGGTAACTTTTGGCTGGTTTCGCGAATATTTGAAAGATATTTGACAATTCATTTTGAGACAGTAGATTTTTCGCACCTGTAGTGGGTTATGCCTCGTCGGCCAGTAAAATATTCAGGTCCGTAGCTGCAGTATTACTAT